TACTACGAATATGTTTACTCCCTTGTCCTTCGCGAGGTCTCTCTGGTAGAGACGGGGATACTTACGCCCGCAATACGGGTGGCCTTGCCCTAAATTCTAGTATTCTATCTTTAACCCCCAACCGGAACACCCCCTGAACTGTAGCGCAGGGTCACCTACAATACGGGAGTACTGATAGCCGTGCCCTACTGTCGATTGTCGACATTTTCCATGACTGGCGTCATTGGCTGTAGAATGTTGACCTCTGGCTATGGGTCCTATTTTGACAAGGGCTTTCCACAAAGTTTTGCCGTTCTTATTCTCAAAGATTCTTACAATTTTCTGTTTGCGAACTTCATAACATACCTGTTGCCGACATTTTGACCAGAGCCTGGTGCAACCCCTTTAAAACCGCTATTTTCTTTTAGCTTGAAAACTGTGGTAGTCTGGTATTTTTAGAATTATGGAATATTCATTATGGAATTTTCAATTATGGAATTTTCATTCCATAATTGTGGCTTGTAACTGTAGGTCAAACCTGCGTTTGGGATCATGACTGTTGGACTGTAGACCGTAGACCTTCGTGAATATTTGTCGAAATCAAAGTAGGAGATGTGGGAAAAAGTGCCCCCAGTACCCTGCTGTGAAAAACCCACTTGACTGAATTACATAAAAGATAGGTCTTTGTCTGGACTGCGCCCTTTAAATGGCTGCAAATTCTATGCAAGGGATTGAATTCTTGCTATTTTAGTGTGCGCTTTGGTAGCCTGTAGAAATGCCATAATGTAACGGGATATTTTGAAACAGTGTGAAAGTTTCAGCACTGCAATCGAGGTTACAAGTAGCCACTAAGTGTTGGTAATTCTCTTCTAAAAAAGTGTGCATTCAGTTTTGTGTGGCATCGATACGTAGCCTCTTCCGCTGGAGCTTGCGATAGAAAAAGGGGTGAACTAGGCAGATAGTATTGCCGGCCAAGGCAAGGGAGACTGAACTGACTATTTCTGGCTTATTAGTCGTTGTCAGGCAGTCATACCCA